TGTTTACAGCAGTCCAATTCTGTGCACAAATGTCAGACCGAAAACTATCAAGGTCAAAGTTTTTAAATTTTCTATACGTCACGGTAGAATGACCTTTATTGTGAATGCCTGTTGAAAACTTTCGAAAAGCATAAATTAAGCTATGATCACTAATGCCGACATGTGAAACACCAGAGAAAACAACCTTATCTGGAGCATTATAGTAAAAATGTGATCGATTATAGTCGAAGATGACTCGGTAACACGTGTGGGTTCATTTATCAGCTGATGCATACCATATAAGTCAGCAATGTCGGTTAATGACCTAGAGTTATGGTCCAAAACAGATGCGCCAAGGTCGCAATTTAGATCGCCTAAAAGATAATATTCGACATTTTCTGAATCAAGCCTACCAATAACGCCATGCCTTTCTAAAGTTCTCGAGGATTTTGTCGTTAGATGGATGATCTCTGACGTTAGGATTAATATTGACGCACAACAGTTCGGTTCTTTAAAAAGTTCATCCACGACCTATTGTTTGCTCGACATGTTGCATTGTTGGCTTTCTCATTTAGACTCAACTGGTCATTTTCTTCGCATATGCTTTTTGGATTTTTCAAAGGCCTTCGATCGTATTGGCCATAACATTCTTATCCAAAAACTTGTTGATATTGGCGTTAGGCGATCGTTAATACCATGGATCGTAAACTTTCTATCAGGGCGAAGACAGCGGGTCAAACTTGCGGAAGCTGTTTCTTGTTGGCTTCCTGTTACAGCCGGTGTCCCCCAAGGTACGAAGTTGGGTCCGATCCTGTTCTTAATTATGGTCAATGATTTACAATGCGGTTCGGGGAGGTCTGGCAATTGGAAATTCGTTGATGATGTTACTATCTCTGAGGGATTATTAAGGAATGGGGAACCGTCTGTAATCCAGTCCGATTTAACTTCTATAGCTACATGGGCATCTAATAACCTGATGAAATTGAACACAAGGAAATGCAAAGAGATGCAAATTTGTTTCTTTCGGAACAAACCTGAACTACCACACTTGTGTGTTGAAGACCAGATCTTAGAATGTGTATCGTCGCACAAAGTTCTTGGATTGATTATCCAGGATAACCTTAAGTGGAACGAACATATTTCGATGATTGTTACCAAAGCATCCAAGCGACTGCATATCCTACGTGTCCTACGACGGGGAGGTATTCCACCGCACGACCTTATCACAATTTATTATGCATTGATTAGATCTACATTAGAATATTGTTGTACAGTATGGCATTGTGGTCTACCTATGTATCTGTCTGAACAAGTCGAGAAAATTCAAAAACGTGCACTGAGGATTATACTGCCAGGTCGATCCTACGGTGAAGCGCAAGAAATGTTGCAGTGTCCTAGGCTGGATATACGTCGAGGTGAACTTTGCGAAAAGACGATGAAAAATATTGCATTGGGCAGTCGTCTTTCTTCCCATCTAACTCTCACCAGTGAGAACGAACATGTGTATAATTTAAGGAATTTTAAACAATTCGCTTCTTTTAAATGTAGAACTGATAGATTTGGTAATAGTTTTTTCCCTAGCATGATTAGTGTTTTAAACAAATAATTGTTCTTAGTTATAAGTTCTTATTTAATAATCTAATGATATATTGTAATATAGTTACTTTTAGTATTGTAATTCCCATTCAAATCAATTGTAAAACACATTGTAATTCATTTTCATGCGATGATGTGTTATTAAAATACCATTATTATTATTAAATGACTCGAAATAAGAAAATTTATCGTTGGTAAAATCAGGCGGCCTGTACCAAGTCGAACAATGAATGGCTTAGAACTAGGTTTTCGAATTTCAATGCACAAATTTTCTAGTTGATGGCTAGACAAATCCAGGCGAGGCGAGAAATTTATGCTAGAGCGCACATAGAAGCAAACGCCCCCATATGTTTTCCCATTAGCACTGAGGAAGTGCTCGTATCTTTCCGCCAGTCAAACGAGTGTCCGCAAAAACATGGCGGATTTTCATGTTTGCTGACGCCAATTGGTTCCTCCGGCTCATGGCAATTACCACTGACCAACCGCGATTCTACGCTTGAAATAAAATCCTTCACCCCCCTGGTTTTTGCACAAATTTTGAACAGTGTATAAACTTTGTGTTTCGAGTCTCGACTGAAAATCTTGATATTTTTGCAGTCGAGGAAAAAGTGCATTAATTTTAAGTTTTTGCTCTCCTTGTAGATGAAACAATTCACTAGAAAGAATTATATTTCTTGTTTCAGGTAAGATTCATGAAACTGAGATGAAAGTTTTATTTTTTAAACTTTCTTTTAAATCCTAGCTTGCCAAAGCTTGGGCTGCTTGGCAACTTATTAAACTTGCCATTTCGATGGAAATGCACAAATACATTACGTCAAAAACTACCGCTATAAAGAGCAAATGTATAATATTGCTAGTTTATATAAGATTACAGCAGTTTTGTAATTTATATTTTTGTCATTTTAAGCAAGTTGTTCGTTATATTTATTATTCAAACTCATTTTCATATTATTGATATCATATCTTCGGTTCAAAATCCTTTTTCGAACTTTGTTTTGTTTTATATTATTTTAAAATCGTTGGTTGGTTTTAACTTTTAACTGCTAGTTTGCCAGGTTTTTGTAGCAGTTTATCTATTTTAGATGCATATAGACAACCACAGAGTAAGTGTATCATACAGAGGTGAAACGACAGAGGAGAGATATACAGAGAGAAACTCGCAGTCGATAACCTCAATTTTTGTATCACGTGCAAACGTTATTTCCACGCGCCACGCAAAATTTCCCAGCCAGTGCCGTCGCTGAAATTTCATAGCAAAAGTATGCATAGGGAAAACGCCGTTCGAAAGGTGAAAATCGCTTTTTTTTAAAAAAAATGAGATACCCATGGAAATTTTGTTCAATAAATTATTGTAGAATAACGGTAAGCGATCACTTTTATTGATTTCCTTTTACTAAAAGTGTTAACATAACAATTTATTTAGCAAAAGTTTGTTTTTCCCGTATCTACTCCTTATTAAAATCGTGAAATGAACTGGCTAGGAATTCCAGACGCTCATGTATAGATAACAAAGCAGCGAATGATATAAATTCCTCAAAATATAACTCTCGCATAAAAAAACATGAATACTTCTATAATATACATGTATAGTTTTATTCCTCTATATTATCAAAATTTAATAAAATGGTGAATTAATATAATTTTAAATAGTTAATATATCGGTGAAAAGTGCGTGACATAATTTGCCGCGAGTTTCCTCTCTGTATATCTCTCCTCTGTGGTGAAACTCTTATCTATTTTGCGGTCACGCGAGTTTTGTGTGCTTGCGTCATTTTCTCGCGCCACGCAGAGTGTTCTGGCACAGAGGAAGTATATACAGGGAGTTCACTCAAGGCCCGAACAGGTGACACGCACAATTGGCCATACTGCGCATGCGTAACCTCCCAGCCAGTACCGTGACATTTTTTATAAGGAAATAGACGGAGAAATCTGAATTTTTGTCATAAAAACAGCGATTTTAACGAAACTCTCCGGACGATTTGTTGTTTTCGTTTTAATTTCAAGAAAATGGGTTAGGCTGCACATTTTTAACAACAAATGGAGCTACAAACACCACTCGAACGCTGCGAAAAGGGAACCGGCTACACTCGAAGGAATGGAGTTCGAAAAGAACCTTATGTTGACAAAGTCAAAAAGAGATCAAAAAGTTGTTCCATGCATACGATGTTCTATACTGCATTGTGTCGTTTCTGTGGGAGAAAAGCTCAGAAGTTGTTCAGAATTGACATTCCGGTATATTTCGTGTCGTAATGTCGTGGTAAGAGCATAGTCCACTTTTTTAAATGAGACAAAACTAGCGAAAAACAAGAGTTCTGTACATGAGAGTTCTGTACATGTGTTGATCTGATTTAAATTCCGTATTTTGATTGCCAGGACATTAACCCATATATGCGTTTTCCCTCTAGTTACCGACTCTTCCACAGTCCCTCGTTACATTTTAGTGCGGGAGAATATGCCCGTTCGCGGGTTAGGCGTTGACAGCTACACCTAACCCATTCCCATCATCCAAATCAGTCGCGCGGGCACGCCAAGAAAGTTGAATGTAGTTCAACCTTCATGGCGTGTCCGCGAGCATTCAGGCGGACAAAAAATGCACAGGTTAGGCAACTAGAGAGAAAGTTGAGTAAGGTTTGCTCCGCCCGCGCGGGCAAAGCGACTGCAATGGAAATCGGCCTTTATGCTAAGGCGGAGCCAACTTGACAAGAACGAAAAGTGGGCGTATTTCGTTTCTTGATGTGTTGTCGGCGGTCCAATTCCCCCACAATAATTTAGTGTGTGTTTAATTCATTTTCTGGGTTCTTCTTCACATAAAATGGGCTTGGATCATTAATCAGATATAAAAGGCCTGCATGCACGTGATCAAATAGGCACAAGTTTTAGATGATTTGGCTAAAGAATATTGAATGTTTCAGTGGTGGATCCAGCAAAGTTTTTTTTTTTTGGGGGGGGGGGGGTGCTAACCAATGGCGAAATCACCAGCCGAGCGCCGAAGGCACAAGATTTCTAGGGGGTGCGGGGGGATACTCCCCCGGAAAATTTTTAAAATTTGGGTCTCTGAAATGGCATTTCCAGCATTCTGAGAAAACATTCTGGAAAATTTTTAGATTCTCAAAACAAGATTTCAATTTTCAAAGGTGCATTTCGAGACATGTGCAGACTGCACAGTGAACGTATAAAAAAGCCTTATGCAAATACCATATAAACAAAATCAACATAATTAATACATATTGTATTAATGTATTTATATTAATATTATAAATAAAAACATAAATTTAGTTACTACACAAAATAGCCTGCAAATGGGCATTTTGAGCAAGGGCTGAGCACTGGGGCCGTGTGGAAGATTTAGACAAAATACTTCATGTAAGCCAGACCGTAAAATACTAATGTGGCACGTGCAAACATATTAAATGCCGAAGTTAAATGTGGATTATTAACATAATATTTTAAATATGTGAATTGTGATGTGAAATGTAAATGGCAGGAAAAAAGAAGCGCCAAGCCAAACTCTCTGATTTTATACCCAACTGAATTCCTTAACATAAGTTGGTTAGAATTAGGATAAACGTCATTTTTGCACCCCCCATGCACCTCTGTTGACCAGAGCCTGGGGGGGGGAGGTGCGCCCCCCCCCCCTAAATCCACCACTGGAATGTTTGAAGTACGCTTACCGTTATTCCATTCGAACTTTGTTCTTGCATCTTCTCCTTTGCTTTCTTTTTCATTTCTTTAAGGTTTAAATTTTCTTCGCCAAAATCGATTTGAAGTAGTTTGACTTCTATCATTTCGCTTATGCTTTTAATTTCATCGATGTTACTTGTGTGCGGTATGTCGTGTGTAAGACAACTTATGGTCGCTGGTCTTCTATATGTATAAAAAAATATTTCACGTTGACATAATAATATTTACAACAAAAAGATAAAACTTTTATCATCGTGATATTTTCCCTGAGCATATGACATTCATGATTATGATTTTTATCATCTTATGACATTGCATAAGAGTATATATAATCACTTTTGTAATATATTTATTCCTAAGCCTATCGTATAAATTAGTACAATAACTTTACAGTCGATTTCAATTATAACTTTTCACTGAAATATTCCGACGTTTGCAACATTTGAATGAAAAGTATGTTAATTAAAACCACACACAGTACTATAATGCGGTTCCCTACAAATAAGACATTCCGCCTCGAAGTATAGTTTATATATAGCACGCTACATTCTACGGCAGTTGGTCCGCACACTAGGATTAAAACTTCCCTTTCAAACCTTTATTTTGGACTCAAAATACTATCAAAATGACGAGAAAAGTGAGACGAATCCATTACGCTGATTCGAACGGTGGTATTATTGTCCCAGAAAGTCGAAAGAGGAAATGTTCCCGCAATAAAGGAAATTCAGAGAACGTGGAAAGATTATTTACTAGGCCGTTGTGGAAGCATTTGATTCGGCATAAACTAACAAACAAACTCACGGGCAGAATATAAAGTGGTGCCAAACTTGGCAGGCGCCACAATCAATGTAAGGTCCAGCAATCCCCTAGCCTCCTTATTCTGTGGTATTATGCTGTAAATTCGTGGCATTGTTTGTCGACCCCCAGCTGCGCTACATAGATCCGGGTAGTTGATTCTGATTGGTCATAATTAAACTCAGTAGATTCTGATTGGCTGAGTTCAAAGGTCAACAAAGTTCTGAATTTTAATAACGTAAACAAACACGTCACGTTCAGGAATTACCGCAAGAGGTTGGAATTACCGCAACCTCGTTCCCAGGCAGGAATTACCGTTATTTTCAACTCCTTGATGCATTTAATTTGTTTAACTAGGAGTTACTATCGCAAGGAAAATGCTGCCGATATGTACATGTAGGATGTGCTACAAAAAGAGCGTTTTTTCACTGTATGTATGATTTATTGTCTTACACATCGTCGTTCCTCAGTTACCTTCGTACAATTATATCTTACATCTAATCTTATGAAAAGTATATTTTAATATACTTAACAGTGCGACTTTGATAGTTGACACATAATACAAATGATAAAATGTGAATATTATTGAATGATTTTGTCACTCGTACAACTTTTAATTTGGCTATTCAAAAAATTGATTTAAAATAGTTGAATTTATACTTACTGGGATGTTATTGCTTATTGGGATGTTGAAATTATGTTTGTTTTAAATACATTTAATTGATATTCCATAAATTCATTAAATTGTATGATTTCATTGACCTTGACGTTGTTCAAAATCATTTTGTATTGTATTGAAACTGTATGTCTATGACCTATGTTATGGACTATATTAACCCATTGAGTCGCATTGCACCCTGATGCACCCTACTTTGAACAGTATTTTACTCTGTCTAACGCCAGACGATTTTACTCGTCAAGGGGAGAGCGCTGGCGCTTAATGGGTTAACACGCCCAAAATCTGTACTAAAACTGCTAATTCTGTTTTGTGATTGGCACAGTTTAATCAAAGAATCCTCCCGTTGAACCAGAACCTTCACAATATTTCAATTTATTATTAACTGAAGGCTCTGGAATCCAGGATAGCTTGCCATTGAATACAGTGCAATGCTTATATTTCTGAATGAATAAGATCAGACTCAGAACAGTCAGAACTGCAAAACTATATTGTTAGAAAGAAGTTGAAGTTGTGAGCATTATTGTGGTAACACAGCCATATGTATATATCAATGTATGTCAGTAGAATCATGTTTATAGGCTTTATATATAACTGAGGCAGTCTTATACAAGTCATATCTTATACAAGTCATATCTTATACAAAAGTCAGTTGATATGCTATATTACATGTAATTGCTGATAAGTCCATATATGCAGACAACAATCCAGGAATCTTGTTAAGCCTGATTTAACAAAATCCCGCGTTTGTTTTTAAACTATAAACATCTAGAAATAGAACGTACCGAACACTATTATATACTCACCGCCTTTGGCTTTGCACATATTAAGTGACATAACAAACAAATAAACTAAAAGTTCATTTGCTTCTTGTATCAGCATAAAGGCATTAATCATTACTGTCGATTTGGTCAGGAATAGATCAGTGATTCAGTGGGTATTATAATTGCCAATATATTCTTGAAATCATATTGTTTCAATGCCTCTATATCGAAGTTTAATACACTAAAGTGACTAAACAAGTATAAACAGCAGATTTAAATATAAATGTCTTCATGTATTATAAAATATATCACCAGACAGGTAGACAGGGCACACGGCACGACTACATCACTATACGAGAACGAAATAAAGCCATCCTTACCTGAATTATTCAAAATATTGTCGATCATTCTTGCGCCATAGACACAAAATAACACCGTGCTTTATTTACCCATTCATCTTCACAAATATTACTCGGAATTTTTATGGAAATTCGCATTATTTTTATGATTTTTATATTTCTGTCCGTTTATAACAGTCGCCATGTTGTGAACAAACCCCCCCGGGAACAAAAAAATAATATCAAAACAGCTAGTTTTGGCCCGTCCGTGGATGACAAAATGACATAAATCGAGATTGTAGCGGCTATAAACTCGGCGGTCACGTGGTAAGCACACCACATGTAGAGATTAGTGTGCTGCCTCGCTACGCTCGGCAGC